TTGTACGTGGATGATCTCCTCGTAACTGGAGATTCTGAAGAAGAAATAGATATGTTCAAGAAGAAAATGAAGGAAGAATATGAAATGTCCGATCTAGGCAATCTGAGTTATTTCCTCGGGCTGGAATTTGTGGAAACAACGAATGGAGTTATTCTGCATCAAGCGAGGTACATCAATGAGGTCTTGAAAGGCTTCAACATGAGTAACTGTAACTATGCTCCAACCCCAGTCATTGCAAATCTAAAGCTTGTAGAACAATCTGAAGAGGAACGTGTAGATGCCTCGCTTTATAAACAAATCGTGGGATCCTTGAGGTACATCTGCAATAGTAGGCTTGACATTAGTTTTGGTGTTGGCTTACTAAGTAGATTCATGCATGAACCTAGGACTTCACACTTGACAGCAGCTAAGCACGTCCTGAGGTACTTGAAGGGAACAACAAATTTTGGTCTTTAGTTTCCCAGAGCATCCAACATCACGTAAGGTATATTGGAGGTATGGTGTGATTCAGATTGGAGTGGAGACACAATGGATAGAAGAAGCACGTTTGGTTATTTCATTCAATATGGTGGGACACCTATCTCCTCCTGGTTTTCCAAAAAGCAAAGTGTGGTGGCACTTTCAACATGTGAAGCATAATATATATCATCTGTAGAGACAACTTGCCAGTGTATTTGGTTAGAAGCACTCCTTGAAGACTTGAAGCTGAAGTGTAGAAGACCCATACAGCTGATGGTTGACAATAAATCCGCAATAAGTCTGTCAAAGAATCCTGTGTTTCACGGGAGGAGCAAACACATCGATACTAAGTTCCATTTTCTAAGGGATAGTGAGCCAAGGCAGAGTTGAGTTGTTGCACTGCCCAACTGAAACACAAAAGGCTGATATTTTTACTAAAGCTCTCAGACGGTCCATATTTGAGCAGTTGAGAGATTTGTTAGGTGTAAATTCTTTCACTAATTATGTTTAGGGGGTATGTTGATGTAAACATAACTTTGTAACTGACTTGTTTTTGTCGGTTGTTGTGTGCTCATGCACACCATATATACTTCACTTTTGATTCTTTCAATAATAGTTCTAGGATTCTTCTTTTATCCTCTCTCCCACTCTCTGTTAAATACATTTTTCTTCTCTGCATAATCATAAAACTAGTTGCGTTAATAGAAATAATAGATATGTAGATTTTCTTTTTTATATAATATTTATTTTTTAAAAAAATATTTAATGTGCGATTTCAAAACAGAATAAAAAAGAGAAAAAAAAGAAAAAATGTACTTGAAATGAAAAAGTTAAAGTGGCCTCGATCTTCTTCTCGTGTAGCATAACATGTGAACAACATGGAGAAACAAAAAATAGGCACTCCAAATAGTTTGAATTCATTGCTTATTTTGTACTCGATGGTCGATACTTTATTTTTAATGAAATTTAATATTATAAATGTTTTGCTACTTTTAAATTCAAAATATTAGATTTCAATTAAAAAACCGGTTACAGTGATATTTGTATTCCCCGCTTTAATCAAATTAAGCGTTTGTAACTGATATAAGCTGTTCATTAAAAATATAATTTAATTTTACTATGAAAGCAATTGCATGTAAAATACGTCTTTGAGGAGTTTGTTTTTGTTTTGTTATAATAATATTTTTCTCGTTTTCTGAGTTAACAAATACATGGATTTTTCAACACGCGCGTATATTACAAGAATTATGTGGCCATAACATATGCATTATTTGGTGGTTTACGGTCTAATTTGCTTAAATGCCGAAGACTAATTTGAGCACTCGAGAGTAAGTTTAGGGTTGAAGCTTTATGTTTGTGCAAATTTCGAAACAATAATAAAAATCCATAACCGATTCAGAAATAATGCCGAATGAATGTTGAAGAAGCTTGTCCACTCGATTGGTTCAATCGCTATTGTTAGTTCAAAAGAAGTATGATTAGTGGGTCAGCCAAGACGCCATTGTTGCTTTATCTAGTCAGTGTAAATGCATAGCTTACCGAATTTGCCACCATCATCAATAAATAATACTCCAAAACTGTCACCCTTAAATTCCATCCTTATCCTTCTCCTTCTCCATTCACTTTTTCACTTTTACATTCAAACCATCTACGTGGACCCACCAATTATCCTTCTATTTTCTTCATTTCAATTCTTGTTTTTCCATGATATTTTTATTTTTTCAATATTACATTTAAAATTTTAAATAATGCTAATTCTACTTACCTATTTCTCTACCACTTTGATTACTTAGAATTCTAAAACCAAACATAATTTAAATATTTATTTCTTTGGTGGATGGCTCGAATGGTTAAGTTTACTTTTATAAAGAATTTTTAATTTTTAAACTTAAGTTAAAGTTTTATTATCAATTTTTTTATTTGGAGAAAAGGAACGGAGTAGTAAAAAGATAAACTTATTATTATGAGTCAGACAGAATCAATAAGATCATATTTATTATGAAATGGGTCTCTGTATTAAAAAAGAAGTCTCGGTAACTCACGTAACTTATGTAAGCTTCGAGGGGTTTCACACAAATACCACTTTATTTTCAACCGTATTTCGCTATAGAATAAATGTTGTTTTATTAAACTATATAATAACAAAGAGTTGTTGATATATTAATGACTCATTACTGCTTAATTATAAATAAACTATAAAAATAGATAAATAAATGTTTATAATGAGAAATAACCGCATATATAAAATTAAATGGTTAGTTTTGTATCAGTTAATATATTATTTTGGAAATTGTAACTTCTCTTGATCTTGTCAACATATTAACTGTTTTAAAAATTGTTTATTATTTTTCACACTATCTTCCATTTTTTTATTCAACCTCTATTCCCTATAATGTTTTACATTAAGTTTTTTGGCATACTTTTTATTAATTATTTATAAAAAAAGTTCTCTTGTTTAGTGATTCTTTCTCTCCTTGATTTTATAATTTTAATTAATTTTAACTGTTTAAAAATAATATTAAGGTGTATTTTAACATTTTTACGGAAAAGTAAAATAAAATAGCTCTTGTCTTTTGCAGACGTATAATCATAAATTTAAGATGTGAGAGACCTATTCATTAAAGTTTATCAACTAGACAATAAATGTTGGTAATGAACCTTAAATAAGATTTTTTATCAATAGAAATAAAAAATTATTTTAATATTAAAAGCATTTTTATTTTAGATAAATGTTCTATGGTAATAAATATTTTTAATTTCAACTGTAAGTAAAATATGATTAAACGAGGTCTGGATAAGATATTTACATTGAAAGAAAAATGTATTATGATCTTAAAACTAATATAGGATGGTGAGATGACAAAAAATAAATTCAAGTTCCCTCTATAATAATAGTATAATGATACTTTGACAACATTTTTTGACAACATTTTTTTGACAACATTTTAACACTGTCTACGTGTCATTCAGTGATTGGTCCAAAATTATTCCACAATCAATAATAATAATCATAAACATCAATATAGACCAATCACAGAATGACACGTAGACCATGTTAAAATGTTGTCAAAAAAATATTGTCAAAGTATCATTATCCATAATAATATTATGCTCTAAAGTGTCGGAGTCAATTCAGTGAAGAAGAATTTTATTACGAGTTTAACTGAATCAACTCAATTTAACTCAATTCTTGGTTAATCAGAAATTTTGTAATCAGATTTAACTGACCACGGTTTATTGGAATAAGTGAATTTATTTGATTAAATATATTTTATTCTTTCAACTTATTTTCTATTATCTTTTAATCATGAAAATGTATTAACTTAACTCACCTATTTGTATCAGAGTTTATCTATTTCAGCTATTTTGATAAATACTAATTATAATTAATAATTGATATAATAAATATATTAAGTAAAAAATTTAATTCATATAATTAACATATAAATAAATAAAACATGCCAATCATTTAAACATTATCAAATAACTTTCTTATATGAAATAACATAAAATAAAGTGTCAATTATTTATCAAAAGTATTAAATAATTACAGTGAAAAAAATTATAAAGATTTAATCTGACTAACACTTTAAAAAGATCATTTTTTTTATCCTACTTAATTTAAATTTTTAGTGAACTAATTATCTTTAAGGATTTATGAATCAATTTATTTTTAATTCAAACTCAAACTCAAATTAAACTAGTCTTTAACCATATTTTAGAAAAGGTTTAATAGCCAATTTAGTCCTCACTTTGGTTGAAAAATCTCAATTTAGTCCCTCGTTATAAAAGTGTTTTACATTAGTCCTAACTTTTAAAATAGTGGGTCAGATTGGTCCTTTCTGTTAAATATAAATTAACAAAATTAATGGATGATGATGTGACACAACGTAAAGCTAACGAGGGACCAATCTAACACATCAGCTTTAAGCTGTGTCACATCATCATCCATTAATTTCGTTAACTTATATTTAACGAAAGGGACCAATCTGACCCATTATTTTAAAAGTTATGACTAATGTAAAACACTTTTATAACGAGGGACTAAATTGAGATTTTTCAACCAAAGTGGGGACTAAATTGGCTATTAAACCTTTAGAAAAATATACTTTTTCAATTAACCTGACTTAAATTGGTACAGAGTCAGATTAACTCAGATTTAATATGAAAAAATAAAATTACAAATTTAAATATTTAAGTGTTACTTTTTAATTTTAAAATGATATATTTTTTAATCTTTATATTTAAAAGTAATGACTTGTAATTTATTTAATACCATAATTACATTAAAAAGAAATAAATAATATACAAATTGAAAACATTTTTGTCTAAATTATGTTGATGATTATTTTTCGATAAACATGACAGTTTTTTTTTTTGGAATGAAGAGTAAAATAAATAAAAAAATGAACAGATAATGAATTGTGAGGGAGTTACTTAGGGAAACGAGCACACGTGTGAATACGGACCGTATTGGTTCACACGCTTAAGGCGGGTCCACCGCCACTCCACCACCCTGTACAGCAACAGAGGTCCAGCGAGCACTGTGCAAAAAGCAAAGAGGGCAACTTCTGTGTATATTTTGCATAGATTCATTAGATCCTAGCCCCACACCACCACCAAACGCAAAACCAAAAACCAAAAACCAAAAAGCATACACCCTCTTTTCTTCTTTCCTCTTCTCCCTCACCCCTTACCCTTATCTCTTCCATCTCACAGACACCACCTACACCTCTATTCTTTCTGCTTTATTACAAATAAACCTAACAAAACCATCCCCATTTCTCAACAAACCCATCTTCTCAAAGGTAACAACATCTCAGCATTGTACTTCTTAAATCTAAAAGCTTCATGTTTATCTTTCTCTCTTCTTCTATTCCACGAGTTGGGTGCTACTGAAAATTTTCAAGGTTTTTTCCTTTTGCTGAAATAGAAGCACCCATTCGGTAAATTTTTATTTTTTTCTAAAAAAATTTCTTGTAAAATCTCTTAGAATGAGAGGAGCACAAACCTGCGTATGATCAGTAGTATATAGGTATTTTTATACTTTTTTTTTTGTTAAAATTTCGGTGGGTGAGTTGGGTGGTGTGAAAAGTGCTGAAACTAGAAAAGTAAAGGTAATCCGGTGGTGATGTTTGTTTCCGGGAAATAAGTTGTTGAAGGAGTGTCTCAGAATGCAGAAAGTGTGAAACTTTTGAGTGGAACTCCTTCATTTCATGGTACATTCTGTCGGCAGCTACTTGGGATAATCTAGGTTCAGAATTTTTGTGTCCTTATTTTATGAATTGATAGTACGTTTTGGTGTCGTGATTTTGTGCTTTTACTAAATACAATCGGATCTACAATCTTAAGCTTCCACACTCTTGGTGTTAGCGTAGATCTACGCTTGCAACTCTGTTTATTTATGCATTGATTATTATATTTGAGTTTTCTTAACTTGTGTGGCTTGTGTGTTTTAAAGTTTCCCAAATATTTAGGTGACTTGATTTGCCAGCTGTAACGGCTATTTGACCGTGTTTCTCTTTTTTAGGCTCCTCGGAACCGTTGTGCTTTTATTTCTTTTAAGGCACAACTGTTCCTAGGTGTGGAAGTGTGGAACATTGAAGATTTGAAATAGTTGTGCACAGCTTCCATTGTTATTTTGAAAAAGAAAAGGTCTTTGGGTTCTTTGAAGGCAGAAGATGCAGAGGCCTCCACCGGAAGATTTTCTGTTGAAGGAGACCAAGCCCCACCTCGGTGGGGGGAAGGTCTCCGGTGACAAGCTTACCAGCACATATGACCTTGTCGAGCAAATGCAGTACCTGTACGTGAGGGTTGTGAAGGCTAAGGACCTGCCTGCAAAGGATGTCACTGGCAGTTGTGACCCTTATACTGAAGTGAAGTTGGGGAACTACAAAGGCACCACACGGCACTTCGAGAAGAAGAGTAATCCCGAATGGAACCAGGTTTTTGCTTTCTCGAAAGACCGCATTCAGGCTTCCATTCTGGAGGTCACCGTGAAGGATAAGGATGTTGTGAGGGATGATTTCATCGGTCGGGTGTTGTTCGACCTGAATGAGGTCCCAAAGCGTGTTCCACCGGATAGTCCTCTTGCACCGCAGTGGTATAGATTGGAGGATAGGAAGGGTGATAAGGCGAAGGGGGAGCTAATGCTGGCTGTTTGGATGGGCACACAGGCTGATGAAGCATTTCCCGAAGCATGGCACTCAGATGCTGCGACGGTTACTGGGACTGATGCTCTTGCCAACATTAGATCAAAGGTGTATCTGTCTCCTAAGCTTTGGTATTTGAGGGTTAATGTGATAGAGGCGCAAGACTTGCAGCCGAGTGACAAGGGTAGGTACCCTGAAGTTTTTGTTAAGGCTTCTCTGGGAAATCAGACCTTGAGGACTAGAATCTCTCAAAGCAGGACTATCAATCCAATGTGGAATGAGGATATGATGTTTGTGGCTGCTGAACCATTCGAGGAGCCTCTGATTTTGAGTGTGGAAGACAGAGTTGCCCCTAACAAGGAGGAGTCACTTGGGAGGTGTGCTATTCCTTTACAAATGGTGGAGCGGAGACTGGATTACAAACCTGTGAATACCAAGTGGTACAACATCGAAAAGCACGTTGTTATAATGGAAGGAGAAAAGAAGAAGGAAATCAAGTTTTCAAGCAAGATTCATATGAGGATCTGTCTGGAAGGTGGTTATCATGTTTTGGATGAATCAACTCACTACAGCAGTGATCTTCGCCCAACTGCTAAACAGCTGTGGAAGTCCAGTATTGGAGTTCTTGAATTGGGGATATTGAACGCTCAGGGTTTGATGCCAATGAAAACTAAAGATGGTAAGGGAACAACAGATGCCTATTGTGTAGCAAAATATGGGCAGAAGTGGGTGAGGACAAGGACAATCATTGATAGCTTCGCACCCCGGTGGAATGAGCAATATACTTGGGAGGTTTTTGATCCTTGCACTGTCATTACAATTGGTGTTTTTGATAACTGTCATTTGCATGGTGGTGATAAGGGTGGAGGAGCAAAAGATTCCAAAATTGGGAAGGTAAGAATCCGTCTTTCCACCCTTGAGACTGACCGTGTCTATACACATTCCTATCCTCTTCTAGTTCTTCATCCAAATGGGGTGAAGAAAATGGGTGAAATCCACTTGGCTGTAAGGTTTACTTGTTCTTCTTTGCTTAATATGATGCACATGTATTCACTGCCTTTGTTGCCTAAGATGCATTATATTCACCCACTAACTGTTAGCCAGCTTGACAATTTGAGGCATCAAGCCACTCAGATTGTTTCAATGAGACTGAGTCGTGCCGAGCCACCCTTGAGAAAGGAGATAGTGGAATATATGCTGGATGTGGGTTCCCACATGTGGAGCATGAGAAGAAGCAAGGCCAACTTTTTCAGGATCATGGGAGTTTTAAGTGGACTAATAGCGGTAGGAAAATGGTTTGACCAAATCTGCAATTGGAAAAATCCAATCACAACCGTTCTGATCCATATCCTGTTCATAATATTGGTCATGTACCCTGAGCTTATCTTACCTACAATATTCCTATACCTCTTCTTGATTGGAGTTTGGTACTATAGATGGAGGCCAAGACACCCTCCTCACATGGACACTCGTCTCTCTCATGCAGATTCTGCTCACCCAGATGAACTTGATGAAGAGTTTGACACATTCCCAACCACCAGACAATCGGACATCGTGAGGATGAGATATGACAGGCTCAGAAGCATTGCTGGGAGGATACAGACAGTGGTTGGTGATTTGGCCACACAAGGGGAGAGGCTGCAGTCTTTGCTCAGCTGGAGGGACCCAAGAGCTACTGCACTCTTTGTCATCTTCTGTCTGGTTGCTGCCATTGTACTCTATGTCACTCCATTCCAGGTTGTGGCACTTCTCACTGGAATCTATGTATTGAGACACCCCAGGTTCCGCCACAAGCTTCCTTCAGTGCCTCTCAATTTCTTCAGAAGGCTGCCTGCAAGAACTGATTGCATGCTTTGATTCATGGATAGTGCACAAACTACATATGGAACCTGCTTTGCTTTCATTGTTCAGCACCAGATTTTGTGGATTTGCATTTCATTATGTCATAGGATTTTCTGTTTTTGAACTTCGTGGTAGTATCCTGGTGAAATTTGTAATTTTGTAGGCTGAGTTGAAATTAACTTGTGTTCAATCAACTTCGTGTTTAATCAGATGCAGTAAAGTTTCTCAACTGGCTATTGATATAGAGGTGAAGTGATTACTGATTTATGTTCACCTTTTCTCCTCCTCATTTGATTGATGAACCAGAGAACACACCTACACCTCTACTTGTTTCGGTTGTTTATTGATGGACACCTTGTTATAGCATTCTTTACTATCTATGATTTGGACCTTGCAATGTTGTGACTATAATATGGTAATTTTGTATAGAGATATATGATGAATACATGTGGGCAAACATATCTCTCCCATTGTGATACTAAAATAAATACTTGTTTTTATGACATTTGTTTGAACCGCAACATTAAAATAAACAATTTACATATTATAATGTATGTTGGTGTGCAATATTTTATTTGAGACTATTTATTTTTGTCTCAGAGGACAATAATTCTATAAGAGGACAGACATGAATGCTTCCGCAATAATTGGGTCGTGCTTTTACTTCTGGCTAATTGTTTGCAGTGTTATTATTTTTTTGCGAAAGATATTTGGAAATCTGTTTATTAAATTTATTTTACCTGATTGTTACATTACAAAAAATAAATGTGGATATTTATCACAGATCTGCCCGTGTGAATAATCATGGTTACACGTGAGAAAAATGATTTTATTAAAATAGAGAAACGAGCTTAGTATGTTTTGTTTTATTTATGCATCTGGATATTTTTTACAAGTAAAACAAGTATAATTTCATATTTTGATATTGATGTAATTGTTTGTTTTTTGGTTCAAGATATTTATTCGTTTTGAGTAAATATGATGAGATATAAACAAAGGAAAAAAGAGATAGCAATTGGAGTTTCGTCTTGTTAGAGATGTAAAATTTGTAAAATGTAAATTTGAGCAACTAAAAGAATTACAAATTTAGATATAAAGGTGTACGCAGCCAAGGGAACGTATTATTTTATAGTAACATGATTTTCTTTTCAAAGAATACGTGTAAAATTTTCAACTTATTAAAGAATGATTTAATATCTTAGATTAATTATATACTCACTTAGAGATCAGATTTAACGTATCTGTTCTTATATTTAATATATAATTTAATTACAACTGTTTGGTATGATGTAATATAATAAAAAAAAAATAGATTTAATTATTCGTTTGGTTTTCATTTTAGTTAAAAAAAATTTAGTTACTATTAATTTTTTTTTTCGATTGTGTTTCAATTTTTGAAAAAACGTCTTAATTAAATTATTTAATTTTTTTGATATAACCACATAACATGTGTTAATTTGTTTTTTTTAATTTATTTTTATTTTTATTTCTTTTACAATATTTTTTGTTGTTTATGTGTTAAGTGTCTGGTATGATATGTTACGAATTAGGATTAAGTGTTATTATTTTGATTTTAATTTAATTTTTATATATATTTCTTTTAATAAATTTAATTCCAATTTTTTAAAAATAAAGTAATATTGATTTTCTTTATATTAAGATCAAATTTATAAAAAAATATTAATTATATAAATACATGTTATTCTTTTTATTAAAAATAACGTTTTAACATATTATATATATTATTAATCAATACTTTTGTTAATTATAATTTTGTAATAAATTATAATATAAATATTAGTATACCATTTATACAAATAATATATTTGGTTATTTTCATTAAATTTATTATTTATATAAATGTTATTAGTTAATCTAGAAGATGATGAAATTTATTATTTATATAAATGTTATTAATTAATTTATTACTATAAAATAATATGAATTAATGATATATTAGTTTTAAAGACTTGCTTTTTTTTTTAAATATCTACACTTAATTATTTTTAGTATTATAAAAAACATACATTAATAATATAATATGTTAGAAATTCATTTTTAATAAAAATATCATTATAAAATCTATACAAATAATGAATTTGGTCTTAATTTAGAGAGATAATATTGTTTCATTTTAAAATATATAAGGACTAAATTGAAATGAAGACCATGATACTTGACACTGACACGTTACACTACCTACCACATGGTATCATTAGTGTCATTTGTCACACTAGGAATCTGACATGTGGACAACAAATTTGTTTACAAAAAAATTAGAAGAAAAACCTAGATTGACACATGACATGTCGTTAATGTCATTGGTAATTTGTTTTAGAAGAATATAACTGAGTCACTTTTTCAAAAGTTGGACATAATGAAAACAAAAAAAAGTTAAGCGGATATTAACTTGAAACTTTATAACCAAAATGTAACTAAATGAGTAATTAAACCAAAAATATGTATAAAAATAAGATAAATTTTTTTAATAACATGTTTAATGACATCAACTTCATTCTTAATAAACATTTATTTAGTGTTATTTATTTATTGTTATAATTAACACCTTATTGCATAGTAAATAGTAAAGATATTTATTCTCATATTATGACATGATAATTCAATTACAAAAATAATAAAAAAGAGAGGATAAGTTAAATATTTAAAATAAAATTCACACTATTTAACTAAACAACTCTAATCCATTATTCTATTGCACTTAAAAGATATTACATACCTAAACACTTGAGTATATCTCTTGTACATTTAACCATTATATTTGCTATGATATAAATCTTATCTAGCAAATTCTTATAATAGAGTAAAACTCTATACAAAAGTTTAAATCGATTTTCACTACTTTTATACTTTTACTTATATAACTCAGGTTATCATCTATTTATATTCTCTGTTAATTAGTAAATTCATACATCTTACCATAACAATTCAATTTAGTAATTCATATCTTATCAAATATTCACATATTTTCAAAATATTGAGTAATCATTAGTCATTGAAACAAAGTTTTCAATTTAAAAACTTGAAGAAGCTTTTGTTCAATAAGAGAAGTTAAAGAATACACAAATACAAAAATATTGAAGAAAGTCCTTACAAAAATGTACTGTGTAAGACCATGAAAATAAATTTATTTGTGAACGGAAAATACAATAAGTTTATATGTAAAAATAAAATGTGGAAAGCTAAATAAGAAATTTTGGTAGCTTAAATGGTACAAAAATGTGGTGATTTCAAGAACATGAGTTCAAGCTCTTTTATACCATTTTGTTAAAAAAAAATTAAAATATTGATAATGGATAAGCACTCCACGTTTGAAGGCATTATTGAGGGATCAAATATGTCAAGTGGTGATTAAAATATTAATATAATAAGATAATATTAAAATAATAAATAATATTAAAAAATTGTTAAATAGTAAAATTTTTGGACTATAAATAGCCATGAGATGGGAGGTTATTCTGCACAAAGAGAGGAAGAATCAAGTGAGAAATCTTGAGAAATAGAGAAGAAAGAGTTAGGAAGAAATTTTTAGTTTCAAGAAGAGTAGATGTTCTGGAGAGTTTTCGGGGAAACAAATTCTGAGCAAGAGATTAAGTATGGAATAGAGGTAGGGGAGCTAACCTTTCTAAGCTTTTATATTATGATTTAGTATTATTTTATTACTATTCATGTCTTGAAATTCTGTGTGAATACTATTAATGAAAAACATAGGTGCTTGTTATATATCTATCTATATTGAATTTCTGTGTTAATATTATATGTTGTTGTTTTGAATCTGTAAATAAGAAATTTGTTAAAACTAGTTGAGGAACACTTTGGCTAAGGAAATACTTGGTACTTAAGTTGTCCATTGTGACACACCTCTCTTTCCTGGAAGTCTACTCAACAAGTTTTTAACTTAAATCTTGTTGAACAAATTATGTATTGTTAAATTATTGTGCAATATATCTTGTTGGAATGAAAATTTATGAGGAATTCAGGTTATTGTGGTAGATATGGAATTATGAATTATAATTGTGATGGTAGGATAGAGGAATCTTAAAAACTGGAGTTCGTACATCCCTGATCATAGAGTAGCCCTGGTCAAATCCAGTAAGTTGTGATTAGTCATATGTACTGGCGTTTATGGTGAGTTTGATTCGTCAAACATTTGATTCTTTCAAGGTGACCATTTATGGTGATATTTTAGTATTGTTAATTTATTTTGTGATATATTCATTTTGTATGATTTCTGTGATGATTGTATTTTATTATATTGGATTTGAATTTATGCATCTGAGCATGATATGAGTATTATGGGGAGATTTTGTAATGGTATAATATGAGTTGAGGAATATGAGCATGGTATGAGTCTCATTGAGAGATTCTATAATGATATGGTATTAGTGTATATGTTGATGTTGAGGGTCCTGTTGTTGGAGGTTATCCTGATACTAGTATTATGGGGAGATTTTGTAATGGTATAATATGAGTTAAGGAATATGAGCATGGTATGAGTCTCGTGGAGAGATTCTGTAATGATATGGTATTTGTGTATATGTTGATGTTGATGGTCCTGTTGTTGGAGGTTATCCTGATACTCTAATAATCATCCAGTCTCAAGTAGAGAAGGATGAATTATGTGGTGAGAGGGGCAGGAGGTCCTGGCCTATGTGTCGGTTTTGGACATAGTGTTGAGGACTAACCTTGTGGATGGTAAGGAGTATTTTGGAACTGTATTTGTAAGAAGAAGTAGAAGTCATCACAAGTGCATAACCTCCCGTGACCGCTCATCAACGTATCATTCGAATGAGTGTCTATTGGGTATTGTGGAATGAGTGTCTATTGGGTATTGTGGAATGAGTGTCTATTGGGTATTGTGGGATGAGTGTCTATTGGGTATTGTGGGATGAATGTCTATTGGGTATTGTGGGATGAGTGTCTATTAGGTATTGTGGAATGAGTGTCTATTGAGTATTGTGGGATGAGTGTTTATGTGGTATTGTGGGATGAGTGTCTATTAGGAATTGTGGTATGATGGGATGAATATCTATGGTGCGATTGTTGTATGATGGTATGAGGGTGTCTGACATAATTATTATATGTTGTTTGTTGAGTGTATCAAAGTAATTATGCATGTTTTATAAATGATTTGTTGCATGTTAGCTCACCCTACTTGTTTGTGTTTGTGTATGTGCGATGATCGTATAATTCGTTATACGGGAGCAGATG